TATCTAGTAATAGTCCATCAGAACTACAGTTGAGTTCCTAGCATGCTGAGAACTCTCTTAGCTGCTCTCTAGAAGTACCAGACATGGACTCATAGACCCATTGTCTCACATCTCATAATTTCCCTGCTGTTCTCGATTTCTTTTTCTCCCTTATTGAGTTTAGCCTAAGTCTTTACTTTTCAATCATCTTTTTGTTGCTGGATAAAAATGAGGTAACACTAAAAGTATTCCAAGAATCCCACTGAAAAAGAACCCCAAATAATGTGGGCATCAGGGGAAGGTGCTCAGGTTTCAGCTGGGCCCTTGAAAATAGAGAAGCTGATTTTGACCTTGCAGGTCTGGAAGTTCAGTCGCCATTGAAGAACCTATGCTCATCTCACACACAGCTCCTTCTTTAAAAATGGACTTATTTTGCTCAGGTCAATAGAGATTCTCACTGATTTTCAAAGGAATCGGTAGCTGGGGAGCATACAAGCTGAGGCATTCTGTAGTGGATATTCCAAATCTCATCAAGAGCGTGTTGCTTCAAGTAAAAATGATTTCTACTAAAGCCTTCCACTCGAACTTCAGACTATCAACTTTACTCTTGGATTAAAAGTCAGCTCCCACAGATACAGACAACAGTGTGGTGATCACCAGAGGAAAAGGGGAATGGGGAGGGGGATGAGGGTAAAGGGGAGATAAGGAATGGTGAAAGAGGACTTGACTTGGGGAGGTGAACCAATAATACAGTGCACAGATGATATATTATAGAATTGTACACTTGAAACCTATGTAATTTTATTGAACAATGTAACCTCAATAACTTCAGTAAAAATTTAGGAAGTCAGTTCCCTGTTATCCAGTGAATATTGCAAAAGGCCCTATTCCCATTATATAGGCAAGTAAAGAGAATATATTTCATCCACCCCCATAGATGCTAATGGACTTGAGAAATTGCAAAATGTGTTACTGAGGAAAACACTGTTTTCTGCTGGTGTTTGGTGGGAGGGAGGCATTTAAGGGATGGAGGGAGAGAAGAGGAAAGGCCCTCTGGAGCTCATTTCTTTGCCTCTTTCTCCACCCTTACATCCTAACAGCACTCACACTAGAAGCTCTATGAGGTTTTGTTTGTTTTCAAGAGATGTTTGAAAGAAGATCAAATGCTTGTGAAAGGCACTGGATCGGCAGCCCTAGAAACTGAAATGTCCCGGAAGCGGTGTGAGCCCGGAAATATCCCACATTTCTATTTATTTTGGCAATTTGACTTAAAACTAGTAAGAGCTGGAGTTCATGCTACAATTAAATTTTCCTCAGGCACCATGAAATGAAAACACATATTACATTTGATTTTAACTGGTTGAGAAAAATGGTGGTTTTCTCAAAGTTCATTCTATGACCTAAAAATAAAAGTTAAAGATCCCCACATGCGACAAATGAGCTTCCTTTTAAGTTGTGATTATTTGTAGAACTGGGTTCTCTGGTTGGAAGGGGTCTTAGGTCACAGAGTTCCCTTTCCCTGTCATATGCTTGAAACCCACTACAATGTCACTGAAAGGTATTGGCAGCTTGGGCTTAAAGTTTTGGGTGATATGAGACCTGCTTCTACATGAGGAGAACTATTTCTTTTTCAATGCCTCTAATTTTTAGAACTAAATAAAATAATATTAACAAAAACTTTAAGAGTGCTTACTATATACCAGGCACCAATGTATTCACTATAATATATATGTACACACATGTACACACAGAATCTCAGATCCTCAAAACTGTATGAGGTAGATTCAATTAGATAGATTCAGTTAGGTAGATTCTCATTGACAGATGAGGAACTAGAGGCATACGTAAGTTACATAATTTGCCATGTTCGTACCACTAGTATGCAAGTCAGGATTTGAACCTAGGCAATGTGGTTCTAGATTCTGGACTCTTAACCCACTAGTGTTTTACTGTCTCTCTAATCTTTATAATTCTCCTTCATGCCTAGTATGGAGATTTATACATTGTAGGTGCTCAATAAAAAGTATTTTCAACAATTTTATTTCAGGATCCTGATTCTTTACATATTCCCATAGGTTTTACACACAATCATCAATTTTCCCTAAGAGAAACAGGAGGACTTTAGGTAATGACTAATACTCTGCCTACTTCAGAAAAGTATTGAGGGGACTAATAGGTACATAATATTCACTATAAAGTACTCAGGCAGTTGCTACCATTAGTAGTAGTTCATGCATAATTTCAATTTAGACTAGACATGGAGATTCTAAACATGCAACACTTGTACGAGTGACTCCTTTGCTGTCTCTTTTACTCTGTACCTGCCTCACTATCTTATGCAAGGATGAGAGGAATCATGCCATCTCAGCAGTGCTATGTATTTTTATATCTGCCTTACTACCACTATTCACTTGCCTATATCACTCATTTGTCCATCCATCTATCCATCCTACCAGTATTATAGGCCATGTATCACCAGGTGATTAGTATTGATATTAGAGAGGGGGGGATGGAAAGCCAAGAATAGATTCTTCCTGTTTAGTTCGTTCGTATTATTCAGAAATCACACATAGCCATTCAAGATAATTGCTTTAGGGTTGATAAAAACCCAGCCCCAAAAGAAGTGCTTTTTAATCCATAATCTGAGAGTTAAACATTCTTTAACTATAGAAAGTTTATTGCTTTTTTCCTTTTAATGTCTTTGTCTTATTTCTTTTTGAATGAAGTTCATGATTGAATACAATTATAGTTTATCCAAAGCCTTGATTTATAATTGACACATATTCAGTCATGCATGAAAGAAGGAAGAAATAATTCTCTATGGAACCTTTTTGTAGGACATGAACTGTTAATTCTTCCGTTCAGTTGTGGTCCCTTGAAGAGCCATCTGTGTTTGCTGCCTACTCTCAGGTGGTAGTCACAGAAAGTGCTGGCCTGTGCCTGAGGCTGGTCTTAGAGCATGATGTTAGTGGGAGAACTCAGCATCTCTTGAATAAGGTGGCCAGCCAGATGGCTTTCGTCTGCTCTGGTGAGCCAGTGTCCACTTTGCAACCACAACAGCGGTGGCTTGGCTCCCATCTGGGCCTTCAACATGCTTCCGATTGGATTTTTTCCTTCTTCATTGAGCCTTGGGCATATCCATGTATTGTATATCTTGGGTTTCCAGTGAACCATGGAGGAAGGATGATGCTGATGTAGAAAGTGTGGCAGGGGCATGGAGGACCAGGTAGAAAGGAGGTTCCTTTATATCATCTTCAAAGTAGGCTACTTGGATGAAATGCTTTGCTTCTTGGTTTAGTCATTTTCTTACCCCAAGGGTCATCATTTGCTTGGCTGAGCACTTACTCTCTCTCAGCTATTACAGTTAATAATTTGGATGGTTTTGAGAGTTTTTGCCTTGTTATCTATAAAGACCCTAACCTTACTGTTTAAATCAAGGGAGGTATAGGACTCTAAGACCTACATTCTGTAATTCAACTTAGCTTTTCTTTACCCTTAAGGGCCTCCAGCCCCCCTGTTCTCATTTACTCCCTTCCTTCTGGTGGAAAAATACTAAATTAGTGGGAGACTTCGTGTGGTCACTTCTATCCCATCTTTTTCTGTTGGGATTTGTATTATTCCATGTTGGTTATGTGCTGTTCTTTGCTGGCCAGGATGAGGGATGCTTAGAACCCAAACACATCTTTACCCATTTCTGGATCTCAGTATCCTTATCTTTACAATGAAGCAATTGAACCAAATGGTTTCTGAGGTTTTTTTGCAGCTCTAACATAACATGGTCTTAGTATTTCCATGGAGCAGAAACTCCTAGGATTTCAGATCTAAAAATGTAGGGTGTATGTATGTGTGTGTATGTAAGAGAGAGAGGGAGAGTGCAAGTGAGGGGGTAGGGGAGAGTTTTCTAGGAGATGGAATCAGAAGGCAGTAAGTCACATATCAAAAGTCTTCTGTTAGGGCTGGATTGTTCCACCCTCTCCAAAATTCACATATTGAGGCCACAAAATCCAGTACCTGAAAATGTGACTGTATTTGGGGACGGGGGTCGTCATACAGGTAATTAAATTAAAATGAGGTCATTATGAAGGCCTGGGACAGATCTTTCTCTAATATTTCTCAAAAAAAACTAAGCCTGACAACATTTTGATCTTGGACTTCCAGTCTCTAGAAGTATGTGAAAATACATTCTTGTTGTTTAGGTCATCTACTCGGTGGTACTTGTTACAGCACCCCAAGATGTATATAACAGATATGGATCTTTTATATCGGATTCCAAAACAAAGAAGAAAAAAGTTTCAATGACTTCCTCTCATAGGTTACCTCACAGACCTCACAGGCCTCTAGACAAATACGAGATGCCCTTTGGCCCAAACCTGGACTTGACTAAGAAATGCAGCCTTCAAAGACATTGAAGGAAAGGAAATCTGGGAACTTCTATGGCACATTTCAGCCTTGCAGAGAATTTGGGGCTAATACCAATATTTAACTCTGGACATATATTGACACGAGCAATTCTTCTATAGCATATTTACACAGAAATTTAAAATGCATATAAAAGCCTTGATTTTTTAGTCTTAATGTTTTTATTTAATTTTTTTTTGGAGGGGGGGAGGAAAACATGGCTTATTTGCCTCTTTTATAATTTTTGTTCTGTTTTTCATTCTTGCCACTCTCTTTCTTTGGACTTTCTTGGGAATTACATGCTTCTTTTCCATTTTCTCCATGTTTAATAGCCACATCCTACAACAGGTTCCTTCTCTTCCTTCCGTCCTGGGTATTATCTAGCTCCACTAGGCTACTGTTCTTCATTTCCTCTATAGCACTTCCCACTTTTCTTTATCGCTGTCTGCTTCTCTCTCATCGTCCTTGCCTCTCTCTGCTTTTCTCCTCCATTTTTCTTTTTTGCTTCTGTGTTCAGATTCTAGCTCCAGTCTCCCTCCTCTGCTCTTTCTTCTTTCCTTTCATCTGCTGACTTGCTTCCGTCCCCTCCATCTGTTCCCCTCCTGGGTGTTTCTTTGGCCCACCTTTCCTTCTCCTCTGAGACTTCATTTTCTTGTTGGTAGATGGGGGCTGATACTGTAAACATCACAAAAATAATTGCATTGAGAACAGGTGGTTCCCTTGGTGTCCCAGAAGACAGAGCCTTTGAGTCAGCCCAGAATGCCTGGGCTCCACAGGATGCGGGAGGCAGCACTGGTGTTGGACAGGTATCTAGACCTCAGTCACAGGACCCAACATTCCAGAACTCTGAGCCTCATTCCTGACTCCCACCCTCTCCCCAGCTAGAAATTGAAAAACAGGGTCACCTGGGAAGAAAAAGAATTAACCTGCCTTCCCCATCCCCAGCACAACTTTCCAGTCTCATTCATCTAAAAGTAACTTCTATGGTGCTTGCTCCCTGACCATTGGCTGCTGTGTTCTCTGTGTGCCAAGTTTGCCCCGTCCCTTTCCATCCTTCAAGTTGGCTCCCTGGAGTCACATCTCTGCTCAACCCACCTGGCCCTCCACCAGCCTTGGCCACAGCTGCAGTTTAGGACCAGGAAGCAGCCAAGGCATCACTGTAAACGTCTTGGTCTCTCCTCTTGGGCTTTCTGTACAATGCTACTTTTGGCTCCAAAGATTAAAACCACAGGTGGTAGATTTTGTTTGGTTTGTTTTTTCATTTTGTCAACAGAGTCCCCAGGAGACACTCTCCTTACTCAACCTTCCTCACTTCCCTTTTATTCCTTCACTTTCTCTCCAGTTCTTACTTTTTCTGCTTCATGACTAAAATTTTAATCACTTGTATTCATTTGTTCACTCATTCATTCACTCATTCAACAAAAATTTATCAGGTGACGAATGTGCATCCAATGATTTACGTGCTTTTGATGGCAGAGACAGTACCTTTAAGGTTTACTTAATGTTTAGCTCTTAAAAAGACACTTGCAAATTTTGGTCATTAGAAATTTCTAGGTATTCTTTGAACCAGATAGAAATTTCTATTTTTAATGTCATTTCTTTAATTGTTTGCCACTGAATGTGAATTACAAATAGTTCCCATTTTAGAGTTTTGTATTTTTTTTTTTTTGGCACCTTTGCAAAATACCAGGGCTTGCAATTTTCCAGGTTTTATTCTTAATAACAATTATGACACATTCACACTCGCCCAACAGTTGTGTTGTGCAGACACATGAAGAGCATTCTATGTACATTAACTTAATTCTTGATAAGGTAGCTATAAGCGTTATCCTAATTTTGTGGATGCAGGTAAGGCTTGTACAGGCTACACTATTCTGCTAAGGGCTCTCCGTTGGTGATTGCAAAGCTAGGACTTCAGTTTTGTCTGACCCCAAAGCCCATGTTTAGTCACTGTTCTCCACCACCTTCTGGTTATCAGATTGTCCAGAAGAGTGGGAGAGAGAATTTGCAATGTGGCATGACCAAAGGGATGGGCATTTGGATGGGTGAGAATGGACCCATTTCGACCTGTAAGCCAGGAGACTAAGGGGATATAATTGCTGTTTGCCGCCCCCTGAACCCTACACACATATAAGACACAGATCTCTTGAGGATGGCCAGAACCCACCCCAGCTGGCTTACCTTCTGAGCCTTGGGCATGTCGGTGTGGCGCTGGGCACGGACAGAGCGGGCCGACTTGGCAGGCTTGAGGGGTGCGCAGTACATCTCCAGCCTCCTCAGATCACAGCTCCGGAAGCAGCACTCGTCCACAATGCCTGTCTGAGGTGCCCTCCGACTGTTGGAGCCATACCCCGTGGGCTTGTCTGTGCAAATCAAATGCAGATTGGCCTGATGTTAGAGTGGAGTATTCCATCTTCAAGGTTCTACCCAGCTTCTGAAGACCACCTCTCCCCACACTAGTTTGCCCACACTTTTGTATGTCAACCTCTTTTTGAAGGTTCTCCAACAATTCTTGTCCCCATAGATCCTTCTGGATTCCATCCAGTATGTCTCCTGAGTCTGTATTATACTCCATAGCACTAACTCATTCATAACATACTTTGCGTTAATTCTCCTGAAGTTCTCAGCAACTTCATGAATCTTGTGTTTGCCCAGACACAAGATTTTCCTTTTATATTGGCTTAGCTGAGAGGCTGCTAGGGATATTAATTAAAAGAAGATCATGTGTTCAGTTTCCTTAATCTTTTTAGCAAATCTGCATAGTTTTTTATGCAGGATGGCTCAAATATTTGCTCTTTTGCTTAATTGCTTCAACTGTAAAATCAAAATAGGCATCAATGAAGTTTTAAATCTGCAATCAGGAAATGACTCCCACTTTTCTGATGTGAAGACTGAGATTTGGAGTTGGAAATGACTTGCTCAAAGTCATTATGCAGTAAATGGTAGAATCAAGATTTAAATTTAGATCTTCTCTCTGCAAAGCCAAAGTGCCTCATAGAGCCCAGGAGGCTTGTTGTACAACTATGAACAAGTCATTTAAGCCTCCTGGGCCTCAGTTTACTCATCTGTAAAGTGGGGTTAATGATATCTGCCTTGTAAGGATTGTTTGAGGATTATGTGAGACAATGTTTGGAAAGTACTGAGAGTATTACCAGACACATAGTAGGTTGTCAGTAAATACTGGTTTGTTTCCTTTGAGCATCGCTTTTGAGGATCTTCCATGGCTTGTGAAGAAACAGTGTGACGGGTGATTGCATCCAGAAACCTCAGAACTTGGAACTAGTTCTAAGTGATGACATTACCAGTATGATAGGACTCCCTCCTCTATTACCGCACAGAGACCAGAAGAATCAATTCTGGTTTGTTTGTTTTTTTCCAATTTTGTTTTCTTATAGAATAATTATTAGACTGAGAGTGAACTAAGTGTCCACTTTTTATGCTATTTGGATTGCCCGTAGGGAACACCATGAGTCAAATTTCTCTTGATATTTGCAAATCAATTAGACCTCTTTACTTGGCAAGTAGGTTTTGGTTTGGTTTCATTTTTTGTTTTGATTTGAACACACTTTTCCTGGCTCTAGAATTAAAAGAAAGGGCAAAACAAGCTTACATGGACCTTAAAATGTACCTGAGTTCTTTGTAAGCTTTTTATTATAGTAGAACTTCTGTTAAACCAAACATTGCTTATACATCAATATACAAAACAGACAAAAGTCAAACTGCCCTGGCTCAGGAAAGGGCAGGGGGACCCGGCCTCAGCTTTCTTTCATGTCCTTGTACTCTCTTGGGAGGTGGAGGGGGACTAAGTTTTCTCCACTGTTCAGGCTTCATGGAAGATTTGCAAACCATTGATCTAGAAGAATCCAATTAATCAATCTGACCTACATGCAGTCTTAAATCCTGACACAGGAGACAGCATTATATCTTAAATTAAAAAGTCTTACATTTGCATAATAATGCCATCATTCTTTAGAATGGAGATTTCAAAGTCAAAAATCCCCAAATTGTATTTTGAACTCCCTGGTTGGGGGTGGGGGGGTCAGACCCAGGTTCATGGCCAACCACCAGACTGGTTTCGCAGCCTTGCTGTTGGAAGGGCCAACCATTCCTGGCAACCTCAACGAACTCAAACGCTTTCTTGCCGTTTGACACAGGAGCCTGGGGATGCATTATCCCCATAAGGCAGGTTCATTGTCACTAAGGACAGCAGAGGGTAGGAACTCAATGAGAGTTCAGTTTGGTGGTCTCTCTTTCTAAGTGGGGTCGGCTGCTTTCGCTGGGGCAAACTCTGAGGGTTCCTTGTGATTGAGGGCTGTGGGGGGACCAGGTAGCTGGCTTCAGTTGGAGCCCCAGTGGGGCTTTCACTTGCCATTGGAAGATTTAATGGCAAGTGTAGGAGACACACTCAGTCTATAAAATAAAACAGCTGTGCTTTTTTGTCCATAGATCAATGAATTTAGGGACAGAGAGTTAGGACTTTTCTGTAATGTTTTATAAAGAAAGTTGACCTTATGTTCAGATATATATTTTTAAATGTTGTTGAAATAGTGAAATAAAGACCTGGATTTTGCCATAAATGTAACTAACAGTTTTCCTACCACAAACCTAGAAAGATGTTTTTCTTTATTCATAATGTCTACAATGGACTAATTGTACTTCATTGGAGATATATGAATATAACAGTGTTTACCTATTTCCTTTTAAAGTTTAATTAGTCCTTTGAAGTACACTATAGGCTTGGTTTCTGGCTCTACATCAAGATATTTAACAAAAGAAATTTCATTTCTCATCAGTTGAGAGGCCACAGTTGAGGGTCCAAGTTTTGCCCTTTATCTTCAAATGCCTCACATGACTTCTTTTTTTCAGAACTGAAATAAAGACACTTGTTGCTGTGGACTTACATTAGAAGCCTGATGCAATGTGGTTTACTATAAAGGCAGTAACATAATTTGCTCCAGTATCAGTTTTGAAAAAAATTAAGATTTTTAATGATCTCTAAATTGCAGCTATGGTCATTATGACTAGTTTGTAAATGTGATAGGGCAAATTGTTCACCCTTTCCTTTAAAGACTCCTCATTAGGCACTCTGCACTCTGACCCAGGGAGTGGAATCACAGCTTGGTAGGTGAGTGGGGAACAAATATTGACTTGAAATAAGAAAGAAAATTTCTAACAATCTGAACTCAAAAGTTTAAAAAATGGGACAGGCTTCTTTTAAAAATAATAAACTTCCTATTGCTGGAAGCAGTTAAGTAAAAGTTGTAAGAACATCTATGAAGACCCTAGGATCATAAATCTGTGCTGAACACAATGTATGACTGCTATGGTGCTTTCTATTCCAAAGACTCTGTATCAAGTGAAGAAATGCAGAAGAAGGCACATCCAGGTCAACTATTCAATATGGTTGGAAGCAATTTACATTGTATTCAAGAAAGGTTGAAATATTTTCTAACTTGGAGGGTGAAAAAAATTTTATGTTTATCATTTGAGCTCCCCAAGACGCTCACAACATTCTTCTTTACTTGATGCTAAAACAAAAGACAGGTGACTGAGAGTTGCAGAGTTCTTTTGTACTGGCATTATGAAGCGTCTGTACATTCACTCAGTCATAAGTGAACAGGTGTCTATAAAATTTAATAGAATTTTTCTTGTTGACGAAGTCTTGACAGTGAAAGCTGACATATTTATATACTTATTTTGTCAGTAACTTTTCTCCAGAGCATGCAGACCAAAGATTGCTTATCAGAGAAGTTGGCCGCCACCTACCCTAGGCCTTGACTCCCCCCTGTGTGTAGATATCATGTGTAGTCACAGTGCACTGGTGTATCTTGAAAGTTGGCCAACAGACAGAATTCCAATTGTTAAACAGCTGGCTTCTATAATAATAGCACTTCCCTTTAAATAATGCATGGTCAGTGGAGTAATTCAATAATCTTCAGGGAAAACTTGCTAGTTACAAGGGTTTTGGGCAGAATTGTGGCATCATCAAAACCACACCAATTAGCTGAGTCTCACATTTTGTCCTGGTTGCAAGCTACTCGCTTCCCTCCATCCCTGAAAGAAAAGGGGTCATGCTGAGATTTAACTGGGGTCATCACTTCTAGAGCAGAGAGCTCTGGTCATTCATCACTGGTAAAAATGGTACTGCCTCTACTGGTGCTACCCAGAGTTGTGTTTCTTACAGTTTTCTGGGAATGCAGTTGTAACATTGTACTCAACTTTAATGCCCTTCGAAACTTCCTCTCTTGTTTATTGAGAATGCTTTAATTAATTTAATATAACCACTAATAAGAGGAGATGTTGATTTGAAGAATCGGTATTTAAATACTGAAAAAATGCAAACATTTTCCAAATAGGGAAATATGCTCTTCTGAAGATATACACTTGTTACTCTTTGGGTTTTGAGGAATAAAACTGATCTCTAGAAATTGCTAACAAAAGGAGGTTCTAAATTTGCTCATATTTTGAGAGCAGGAAAAAAGAATTAAGACAATTCAGGCTGGATTTCAAGGACTATTTCTAGAAAATTCACAATTATGTTTCTTATGGAATACAGAAATAGGATTATTAACTTATCAAAAACTAATTTGCATTTAACTTTGATTAACTGAGGTGAGGATTGATTACCCAATTAAATATTAGAATTGAAATCTATTTAATTCTAAGGAAGTTAGGTTCCCTGCACCAACTATTTATCCAAAATCTCCAGGCATGAGTGACCACTTGGAATAACTCAGAATGGTTAGTCTCTCAGCACAACAGTGTTCCATGAACTGCCTTAGCTAAGAGAAATCCACTCAGATGACATGATTTTGCATGGGATAGTAGTAGGAAAGTTTGGTAAAATATGAGTAATTTTAAAGTTTTCTCCACTTTAATATTCAATTATTTTCAGTTCTGGAAAAATGAGAATCACTTCTCAATATTTCTTACACATCGTATGTCTTTCTATGGAAAACTAGACACCTTTCATGAATTCCTGATATAAAGAAAATTGTGGTAAGACTATTATCCAGGCCCAAAATGTAACACTATCTTGAATTAGTAGGATTCATATTTTACTTAAAGCCTTTTGATAAGTCAGTATTTAATCTTTTAAAAATTCTCTGGAAATCACACTTGAATTTAAATACTTCTGAGATATATGTAGTCATGTGCTTAGTAAAGATGTGGATTTCATAAACTAGCCACATCATTACACACTTAGATTAACATGGGCATGTTCACATACATATTCAAACATATATCAGGAATTAAGTGACTTACCATTAATGTTAAAGCTATTGCCAAACATTTTGAAATTAGGATTGTTTTTGAAGAAGTTTTTCTAAAGTATATACTGATTGCCTGCCTTATACGGTGT